GTGTGTGTGTGTGTGGTGTCTGTTTTCACCTGAGGGAAAGTGGAGTAAGGAATGACTGCTAAATAGGTCCAGGATTTGTACATCTCCGTACCCAGTGCTGCAGGGGCTGCCTGCAGTCCCAGCTCCCCACCTCTAGGCTGGGAGACTTCCACCTTCTCCCTGCCCCCGCTTTGTGGCAGGCCACAAGCGTGCAGGGCCCGGGCACGGGGACCAGCAGGTGCGTGCCAGCCCCCAGGACCGCTTGGTTTTGTTTTGTTTTTGTCTTCCAGATTGCTGACCTTCAAAGCTTTTGCCCAGATCTTCGTCCTGGGCTGCTCTTGGATTCTGGGCATTTTCCAGATCGGCCGCGTGGCCAGTGTCATGGCATACCTCTTCACCATCACCAACAGCCTGCAGGGTGCCTTCATCTTCCTCATTCACTGTCTCCTCAACCGCCAGGTAGATGACGGCCACGGGCCTGCGTCTCCACCCCCTCTCCCCTCCCCCCACCCGTTCCCCTTCACCTGTGAGCACCACCCACCTGCTCCTGGTGTCTCTGTCTCCAGGTGCGAGAGGAATACAGGAGATGGATCACCAAGAAGAAGGAGCCCAGCTCCCAGTCCCAGACCTTGGGGGTCCAGCTGTCGTCCATGCCCTCTACAGCCAACACGGTGAGGGGGCCCATGCATCTCTTCCCGAGTGCTGATGGAAAGGAAGGCCTGCTGCCCAGCGACAGACACATGGCCGGGGCCAGAGCCGCATGGGTGCTGGCTGTCTCCACCTCAGCTCCCTGTGTGAGGGGCAGTGTGCAGGCGGGGGGAGCTCAGAGGTGTAGCTCAGTGGTCAAGGGAGCGCCGTGCCTATGCACAGCTCCATTCCCATCACCCTGAGAAAGCTCTGGGCTCTCCCTAGTTTGTCACTTAGCCAGCAGCCTGTGAGCTTTCCATTTATGTTATTTGCATGGTGCCGAAATGGATGCACAGCCCCAGACATCACCACTAGGTTCCAGACGAGCAAAGAGAGATAGGGTGGGAACAGAGACCATTCCTTGCTTGGACCAAACATAGCTGCAAAGGATGCTGAGCAACACACAAGTGTTGACTTCATATGTCTGGACAAAGAGGTGTCAGGAGAATAGGCTGGAGACAGCTTCTGGGTTGGCCAGCGGGCCTGCCACACTCAGAACAATTACTTTTAAACTTTTATTTTTTATGTTTATGCTCACTGTGGCTCGTGCCTGTGATATGACCTTACCTACTGAGGAGGCTGAGATACGAGGATTGCAGTTCAAAGCCAGTCTGGGCAGCAAAGTCCACGAGACTCTTATCTCCAGTTAACCACCAAAAAGCTAGAAGTGGTGCTCAAGTGCCAGCTTTGAGTGAAAAAAAGCTCAGGCCCTGAGTTCAAGTCTTCAGGACCAGCATAAAAACACGCTTCACTTTTTTTTTGCCAGTCCTGGGCTTGAACTCAGGGCCGGGCACTGTCGCTAGGCTTCTTTTGCTCGAGGCTAGCACTCTACCACTTGAGCCACAGTGCCCTTTCTGGCCTTTTCTGTGTATGTGGTACTGAAAAATCGAATCCAGGGCTTCATGGATGCCAGGCAAGCACTCTACCACTGAGCCACCTTCCCAGCCTATGCTTCACTTTTTAGGACTTTGTTGCTATATTTCGCTCAGTGTGTTTATGTTTCTGTAGATGTTTGAAATCCCAGTTTTATTTTGATGAGTCAGATGAGGAAGAAATTCTCTTTTCTGTCTTCCAGGACTAAGGCTTTGCTTTCCATACTCAGCGAGCAGCACTGGAGGGTGTTAAGTGCCTGTGGGTCCTTCCTTGAAGAGCTTCTCTCCTTGGCGTAGTGTGCAAATTCAGAATGTGCCAACTTGAACCTCTGGGAATCCAGAGTATGGATGGGCGTCCATTTCCCAGTGCTTTGTGCAACTGTTCCGAGCAATACTTTTATCCTCTGTGCTTTGCAGTGCTCTGAATTTCCAGAGCTCTAGGAAATAACAACTTTCAGTCCAGTGTCAGATCTGAGGGCCTGTGGCTGCCATTTTATGTCCTGTGCTCCAAGCGGGAGCCCCTGGCATGGGTTGGGTACAATAAATGGTTTTCCATCCATCTGAATGATTTAAACCAAGACAAAATTGCTTCCTGCATTACAAAACAAGTCACACCTCATGCCAGTGGCTCACACCTGTAATCCTAGCTGCTCAGGAGGCTGACATCTGAGGATTACAGTTTGAAGCCAGATTGGGCACGAAAAGAGCTGGAAGTAGAACTGTGGCTCAAATGATATAGCACCAGCTTTGAGCACAAAAGATCAAGAACAGTGTCCAGGCCCTGAGTTCAAGCCCCAGAACCAGCACCAAAACAACAGCGAACACAGCAACAACAAACAAGCTGTGTCAACTGAGATTAACCTAACTGAAAAACACAAAAAAAACACAAGTCTAGACTCAAGATCCAGACCAGAAACTTACCCAGAAACTCTTGTGACTTGGTAAAGATTCTCAGCCTACCTTCCTTCCAATCTTGAATGCCAGGGAGGGAAGAAGGAGGTGACCAATTTAAATGTGTATGTCCTCCTTTCCAAGAATACTCTAGAAACCCTCTTTCCTTAGAGTGTCACTCATCAACTGGCCACATAAGCTTTTCTAGCAGACCAAACCGGCCATCACTTCTTCCAGAGCTGTAACCCAAACCTGAATTTTATCAAGATGCACATGATGTTCTAAAACATTCTACAAGTTATGTTAACTTTTATTTGTAACGACTTGCTATGGGTCTAAAATAAGACTTTTGGGGGGAGTTTTCTGGGCTGCTGAGAAGAATGTGGATTCTGTGGCCATTGCGTGGAAAATTCTGTGCTTGTTGGTTAAGTCCGTGTGGTGCATACAGTAACTGGCTTTTCAACGGTAACTGACTCAGCTGGGGAGAAAAGAAGAGTCATGAATCCATTTTACATCTATTCACTCATCTCCCCATCCACTCATTCATCTATCCATCCAACTATCCACTCATCCATCCTCATCCATCCATCCACCCATCTACCCATCCACTCACCCATTCATCATCTACCCATCCAACTACCCACCTACCCTTCCATCCATCCATCCACACATCCATCCATCCACCCACCAATTAAACTCCTCCACCCATCCACCCATCTATCCATCCATCAATTCATCCATCTCCCCATCCACTCATCCATTCATCATCTATCCATCCAACTATCCACTCATCCATCCTCATCCATCTATCCTCCATCTACCCATCCCCTCACTCATTCCATCCATCAGTCCACATATCCATCAGTATACCCACTAATTCGACCCCCCATCCATCCATTATCCATCCATCTACCCATACATCCATCTGTCCATCCATACATCCACCTATTCACCCGTTCACCATCCACCCATCTATCCAACCATCCATTTACCCAACCATCCATCCATCTACCCATCTACTCATCTACCCAAGTCTATCATCTGTCTATCCATCATTAATCTACCCACCCAGCCATCCATCCACCCACCTATCCATCCATCCATTGCTCTATCCATCATCATCCATCTGTCCATCCTTTACCATTCATCCATGCATGCATGCATATATCACCCAGGGTGCTGAAGTGGATGCCAGGCAATGGCTTTCTCTACCACTGAGTGACTCCACCCGGCCTGTACTGAACCTAGAACCATCCCTGCCTTTCTGGGCCCTGCTGGGACTCATGCATGATGTTTCCAAAGTGAACAAAGATAAACATTCCGTGTAGGCCTGAGGCAGTATGACCTGAAATCACTCTGCTACTTGAGCCACTGGAGCCTTTAAGAATCTCACAGATTTTCCTGCCTGCCCTGGCTTCAGACCTTGATCTTCAGATCTCAGCTTCCCAAGTGGCTGGGATGACAAGCATGAGCCACCATGTCTGGCAAGAAACAATTCTTTATCAACACTGGCAAAAGGGAAGCGGCATTTGAGTGTTGTGCTTTGTGAGTCTACACCCAAAACGGTAGTCTTTCCTCTTTTTTTTTCTCCTGTGGTAGCTGATAAAGTTTAGCTTGCGGTTAGACTTAGAGGCAGTTCCTTGTTTGTGTAGGTGACTCTAAGCAGAAGCATCTGGCCAAGTCAAATGAGTTAGATGCGTAAGGTGAGTGAGAGGAGTGTTTATTAAGTGGGTGCCAGAGTCCAGGAAATCAATAAGGGATAATGGGGACTCTGTGGTTGGCATGGGGGGGGTGTATTATCACACCTTGGTCTAAAGAGGAAAGGGAAGGGAGGATTGCTGGAAGCTGGCAGGGGCTTTAGCCTGCAGAAGTAGAAGCCTACCACTGATCACAAGCGTACTTTCTATAGAGGGAAATAAATATTTCCTTTCTTTTTTGTCAGTCATGGAACTTGAACTTGGGGCCTGGACCCTGTCTCTGAGATCTTTTCCCTCAAGGCTAGTGCTCTACCACTTTGAGCCACAGCCTCATACCTGGCTTTTTGGTGGCTCATTGGAGATAAGAGTCTCAGGGCCTTTCCTGCCCAGGCTAGCTTCCAACCTCCATCCTCAGATCTCAGCCTCCTGAGTAGCTGGGATTACAGGCGTGAGCCACAGGTGCCCAGCTTCAAATTAATTTTTTAGTGCAATCCTGCACTATTTTAAATTACTCTAGCAAAAAGAGGACTAATGATCCTGGCACAGGTGGCTCACGCCTGTCCTCCTGGCTACTCAGGAGGCTGAGACCTGAGGGTCATGGTTCAAAGCCAGCCTGGGTAGGAAAGTCTATAAAATTCTTCTCTCCACTAAACAACAACAACAGTTAGAAATGGAGCTGGGGCTTATGTGGTAGAGCACTAAAAGCTAAAGGACAGTACCCAGGCCCAGAGTTGAAGCCCCCACACCGGAAAAAGAAAAAAAAAGAGAGAAGTAGTGGACATTGCATTATAGGCACACACCCTAATACACAGCCCTTGTGCCCAGCCCCAAGAAATTCCCTGAGACACTGAATTGCAAGATAAGTGAAGATGCACTTCCTCCTTAGTTAGCACTGAAGAGGCACCAGGCTGAGGAGAGGCTAAGTCTTCGGCACCTTGGGTAAGTGTCTGCGCGTTAGTAACCCCACACCCTGCACGGAAGGTGTTCTGCTTGGGTGTTTGAGTTGGGAAAGAAATATCCTGGCTTTAAAGAATATTTCCAGGAGATGTTCCTTTTCCTGGCCCTGTGGCTTTATTTTTCTTGAAAGTCTGCTAGATAGGTATCGAGCCTGTGTTTGCTTTTCCATGTCTGTGTGTGAGAGAATGGGGGTGCTGCTGTGTGGGTGATATGTTGTGGGGTGCTTTAAGCAGGTGCTAAAATAATAAAGCTTTAAGAAGAAAAGTCTAGTGCCCAGCACTGTGGCTCACGCCTGTAAATACTAAGCTCCTCAGGAGGCTGGGATCTGAGGATCACAGTTCAAAGCCAACCCAGACAGGAAAGTTCATGAGACTCTTGTCTCCAATGAACCACCAGAAAAGCTAGAAGTGGAGCTGTGGCTTAAGCAATCGGGCACTAGCCTTGAGTGGAAAAGCACCCAGGCCCTGAGCTCAAGCCTTGGTACCAGCACAGAGAGAGAGAGAGAGAGAGAGAGAGAGAGAGAGAGAGAGAGAGAGAGAGAGAGAGCTATAGCAAAGCCTTGATGTAAATCCAGGACTGTAACATGCCATGCACAGAACTCAGAAGAGCAGCTTATGCATTGCATCAACTTATACTCCTTCCCTTCCTCCATCCCTCTTCTTTCTTCCCATTCACCTCATATGACGTCCCAGATGGAAGGAAAGAGGATTGTGGGAGAGACACTAAGTGGGCATTGAGCAGACTTCAGCCCCAGAACTGTCTCCAGGCCAGGGGAAGCGCGAGCCAAGGTCCTGGAGCACCCCTTCTGTATCCACCCCTGTGCCTGCTAAGCGTTTTCTGACCTAGGCTGGGTCAGGGGCTCATCCTAACCAAGACCTTGAACTCCAGCCTGCATAGTCTGCTTCTTCCTGGTCTCCAGGACCAGGGGTCCCAGTCAGCAATGAGGAAAGAAGCCATGACCCTCTCGAACATGGCGCAGTAAGCCAAGATCGCTCTGAAGCCGGGTAGGGTCTGTTCTGGGGTTTGTCCTGAGGCAGCTTGTGGGTCTGTGGCAGGTGGAGGCCGCATGGTTCCAGCCTTCTGACACCGGGATGGAGTGCACATCCTTCAGGATGGAGCTCCTTGTGGGCAGGGGGTGGTGTTGAGGTGCTGCTGTTTTCCAGGCATAGGTCACCATCCTCCATGTCAGAGACAATTGGTGACTTCTTTCAGGGCATCAGCTGGGCAGGAGAGGCTGTTCATGTGTCTGAGAGAGAATTATGATTCCTGAGTGTGTTCAAAGGCTGCCTTCCTGTGTGTGCATGTGAGGTGTGCCAAGACAGATTTGCAGAGCATGTTATCTTTGTTTAATACACCCTGGAAATTTGAACTCTGTGTGTGTGTGTATGTGTGTGTGTGTGTGTGTGTCCTGGGACTTGAACTCAGGTCCCGGTGCTGTTCCTTAGCTTTTTTACTCAAGGCTAGTACTCTACCACTTGAGACATAGCTCCACTTCCAGTTTATTTGCTGGCTAATTGGAGAGGGGAGGCTCATGGACTCTCCTATCCAGGTTAGATTTGAACCACAGTCCTCTGCAGAGTAGCTAGGATTACAGGTATGAGCTTGGAACTGTGATGGCAAATCCCACTACCTAAATTATGCCCATCAAGCAAATACTTGCCACAGTGTTGTTGTGGCTGTTGTAGTTTAAACTCTTTGAAGGGTTGGAGGCTTGGTTCAGGTGGTAGAGTGCCAGCCGATGAGCAAAAGCATCAGCTACTGAATCTGAGTTCTAGTCTTGGACCAAAAAAAAAATCTTTGAAAGGCACTTTTACAGTGGCATGGGATGCTTCTGTTATTTTGTCCTTTAAATGTGGATTTGGGGGGGGGATATAAAGGACCCTCATTTGGTTCAGAATCAAAGCAGGTGGTTGAATGTAAAGTTTTTCTACCCTCTCATGTTTCTCCAGCCACTCATATTTTAAGGCAAGTAATGTCATGAATTTCTTGGGAATATTTACATTATGAAAATGCAGATAGGTGGTGTGTTACCACTCTGCTGGCTGGATTCTTGTTCCTCTGATGGAGTCGAACTCCTGAGCAGATAACTCAAAGCTCTGCTAGTCCTGCCTTGCCCAGGCCCAGACCTGTGCAAGGCTGGGGCACTAGGCTAGCACCCAGAGCCTCACAGCTCAAACCCGAAGAGCCGCAGGCTGTGTGGCTCCAGGGTGGAGAAGGCCAGGTCTTCCAGGTGTGTGTGTGCAGGCTGGGAGCTTAGCACCCCTGGGCTTTTATCACCAGTGGTTCCAACCTTTGTAACCTTGGCTTCCTGTATCAGTGAGTGGCAGCCCTGGGGAGTCCCCATGAGTGTCACAGCTTCTGGGAGGGTGCAGGTGTAGGGACCCACAGCTCTGACACTAGCCAGTGTGGTGGCTCTTGAGTCAAGGGCTTGGAAGCCTCCTGGAACTCATCCACTGACTGGGTCCCACAGTTGCTCATCTCCAGCATTTGACACCCTTTGTCTCCTCTGCCAACTCTGCTCTCTTTGCCCAGTCACTTCCTGGTGCTCTCCGGCCAGCCTCATGCCATCAGCACTGAGGACGGAGTATCTGGACTGAATCACCTGGTTAGGTAGCCTGGAGGGACACAGGAAAGGTTGTTTGTGCCAATCATGGCAGAGCCTTTCATGCCAATGAAGGATTGTGCTCCCACCAATCACGGAAGAGCCCTTCACGCAAATGGAGGACTGTGTTTGTTTGTACCAATCATAGCAGAACCCTTTATGCAAATGAAGGCGGTATCTGCACCAATCATAGCAGGGCCCTTCATCCAAATGAAGAACTGTGCTTGCACCAATCTTAGCCGAGCTCTTCGTGCAAATGAAGAATTGTGTTTGCACCAATCATGGCTCAGCTTTTCATGTAAATGAAGGACCTTGTTTTCACCAATCAGAGGCCTTCTCGTGGGCCATCAGGTGAAGTACTTCTCTGGCTTGAGTGAAAGAGGCTACAGGATCATCAAGAGTTCTGCTAGAATCTTGCTTAGAATACAAGTTCTCAAGGCCCATACGCGTGCAGGCTGTGGAGCAGGTCTTAACCCCTGGTTGTGGAGGTCCTCTGCAGCTGCTGGAATGTCCTCAGAGTGATTGCAATGTTTCTAGAACAGCTGGGCTGCCACAAGGCAAGTCTAGCTTGATGCCAGTACAGTGACTGTTTCCTCACAGCTCCTCTTTCAACCATGCCAGATACCAGGGAAAAGCTGCTCTTTGTCTGTCTGTCTCTCTGTCTGTCTCTGTCTCTGTCTCTCTCTGTGTCTCTGTGTCTCTATCTCTGTCTCTGTCTCTCTCTCCATAATAGGAATTGAACCCAGGTCTTTGCACATGCTAGTCAAGCACTCTACCAATTGAGTAAGGCCTTCAACCATGTTGTTTTTGTATTTTACTTTTGAGATACCATCTTGCTAACTCTGTCCAAATTGGTCTTACATTTGCTATCCTCTTGCCTCTGGGAGACAAGAGAAACATGTGTTCAAGACTACCTACTGCATACCTTGGTGGCACAGGTGATGATAATATACTGTGACTTTTAAACTTCCAAAAGAGCTCGTCAGAAAAAAAGGATAAATTTACAAGATGGATATGTTCTTTGTTTTTATTTACTTATCTTCCCATGGAATCACACACCAAGCCATCCCACTGGACCTCACAAATACAGATGTGATGGTCAGTGACAAAATGGGAAGCAAATAAATAATAGGAGAGGGGGAAAATAATACCTGGATGGTCTGTGCAGGGGAATTTTCTACGGTGTGGATTTTGCTAAGTGCAATAGACCAGGATTTCAAATTCCAGGGACAGAGGGAGGGAGGACAGACAGACTTGTTTATAAGTTGCTAACTGGAACCCTTGCTTCTGAGGACTTATTGGGAGAGAGATGAAAAGGGCTAAACCGGACACCTGGCTTCTACATATTGCCACTATCTGCATTTTGTTTCATCTTTCCAGGTCTGCTGAAGAGAGGACTGTTGGCTTTGTGTTCCGGTGTCTCTGAGCTATGGGAAGCTGGTGCCTACCCATGCTCGCTGGTAAGTGAAACACAAGATTCGAACCTTGATCCTCAGATCTCAACCACCTGAATAGCTGGATTACAGACATGAACCACCAGTGCTTGGTTCACTAGAAATTTCTTCCTACCTCTCTCAGTCCTTTTGTTTTTTTTTTTTGCCAGTCTTCCCCCTTAGCTTTTTCTCCTTCCCTCTCCCATCTTTACAGTCCATGGATGAGAGAAAATATTCAGTTCTTGTCCGTGTGGGACTGGTTTACTTCATTTAATGTGGTGATTTCCACTTCCTTGATTTTCTTGCAAATGGCATGGCTTCATTTTTCGTTGTGGCTAACTAATATTCCATTTTTGCCTATAAATCACATAATCATTTATTGACCTGGTTGTGAGCATCTAATCTCCTCCTGGAGTCAGGGCTACTGTGAATAAGGATGCAATAAACATGTGTACAAGATGCTGACTTTGATTCTTCTTTTTAAAAAATATGCCCATGAAGTGGTTTGGTCAGATCATGTGAAAATATTATTTTTAATTTTTTGAGGAACTCCTAGGATAATTTCCATAGTGGGCAGACAGACTTCCGTTCCCACCAATAGTGAAGATGCACACACGTAACCTCATCATATGATTTCTTCGTTATTTTCTTGATGGCGGCCATTCTGTGTGAGGTGAACTGGTATCACAAGGTTGCTTTGATTTGTGTTTCCTTTTTTTTTTTTTCTTTTGGCTAGTTGTGGGGCTTGAACTCTGGGCCTGGGCACTGCCCCTCAGCTCTTCAGCTCAAAGTGAGTGTTCTACCACTTGAGCCACAGTGCCACTTCCAATTTTCTGGTGGTTCATTGGAGATAAGAGTCTCATGGACTTTCCTGCTTTGAACTGCAATTGTCAGATCTCAGCTTCCTTAATACCTAGGATGACAGGCATGAGCTACTGGCACCTGGCTTTTGTGTTTCCTTTACAGTTAAGAATGCTGGTATTGCTGGATCCTTGAGTAGTTCTAAGTTTAGTTTTCTTCTTCTTCTTCCTCTTCTTCTTCTTCCTCTTCTTCTTCTTCTTCTTCTTCTTCTTCTTCTTCTTCTTCTTCTTCTTCTTCTTCTTCTTCTTCTT